GATATTCCCCTATGAACTATCAGGGTATCCCTTCACGATAATGCACGCACTCCACGTCCACATACGCACACTGAAACATGTACACTGCGTTAACGTAACTACGTTCGAATAACTCAGGAGAGGGAAGAAGCTCTCCCATGCAGAAACTCGGATGTCAGAGCCATAGAACAGAGAAGGAATAAATGTTAAAAGAAGAGAAGAGTACTTAAATGTATTGAGTATATTCAGGCTGATGTATGTGCTGGCACACGTCACATAACTGTCACTTCCTTCTGTTCGCATCTGAGCGCACAAGAGGAGTTCAGTGCCCACCGGCATAAGCTGCGGCCCCAGCACACGAAATATGCTTCAGGCACAAAGGCCCAGGTCATATAGAAACATGGGGCACCTCCCCACGCATAATAATACAAATTATATAAATTATATAATAATAACATTAACATTTCTTTCCAACTATTCATTTGGAGATACACAATATAACTGACGTACCACAAAGAAAACTTTATTTAAAGTTGAAATTATCTAAGCAATACGAACGAATATCAATGAATTTTCTAGAATATGAAGTCAACATTTCAATTAAGCGGAATTCCCTTATCCTTGCTTACGTATTATAAGGTTTTACATTAAGTAAGTGTATATTTGGCCTCTCCCCCACCAAGCCAGGGGCCTGAACCAGTTGGCCCTGCTGCTCCCCTTCTATATGGACCTGGTTTCGGACGAAATACACCCCTACTTGAACATTGATATTAAACTCTGCAGGTTAACTCGATATCTGTATAGTAACGACTGTTCTCTCCTATGTTGTTTCGATATATAGAGGAGCCCAAAATCTGTTGTAAATAAAATTGTTATATCGAAATACTCTCTGATCAGAGAGGATGGTACAGCTTTAATGAAAACATTTGTATTCAGGAGTCCTTAGTTCGTTTCTCGATTAAGCGCATCCATTGTTTTGAATGAGGTATGTAGTAGATTTCGTCAGTTACACTAAACAAATGTCGATATTGTACCTCGATTAGGGCACGACCGTTTCCTTCCTAATCCTTCCCAATCATTTTCATTAGTCGTCTTGTTAGTAGACACTGCCAGCGCCGTAAAGTTACATAATCTTTTAATATTTGCGCATAATCGGTAGGCCAGTATTCGCCATCAGGTCCTCGCGTGTTCTCTATGTGAATTCGCCATCAAGTCCTCGCTGCTTCTCTATGTGAACGCAGCGCGAGAGCAGTCTAACAAACAGCGTTCGCCATCAGGTCCTCGCGTGTTCTCTATGTGAATTCGCCATCAAGTCCTCGCTGCTTCTCTATGTGAACGCAGCGCGAGAGCAGTCTAACAAACAGCGTTCGCCATCAGGTCCTCGCGTGTTCTCTATGTGAATTCGCCATCAGCTTCTCGCGGCTTCTCTATGTGAACGGAGCTCGAGGGCAGTCTAACTAACAGCGTTCGCCATCAGCTCCTCACGGCTTCTCTATGTGAACGGATCGCGAGGGCAGTCTAACTAACATGGCTTCTCTGCAAGTCTGTCCGTAACGAACAAATGCAGTGTACAAATTAATTTGAGGATGTGTGGGGCTGATGGGAGGCATTTTTGAAAAATATTTGCATAAACGTTTTGAATGTGGCGGAGAGAAATTAAAAATAGACGGGAAAATAAAAGGAACGAGAAAAAAAGCCGGAGAATGGATGGAAGGAGGTAAAGCTGCGAAAGATAAAACAAGAGGTGAAGAGATTTTTGAATTAATTTTCAAGAGATATTTTACTAGTAGTTGTAATTTAGTGTGAAATTTGCTACTTTGCTCTCCATAGAAAAGGATTTGAGCTTATGAAGCTTAAAACTCATCTAAAGAGCAATGAAAAATGAAGTTTCCATCTCGCAAAAAATACACAGCAACCGGTTAATGGTATTTAAGTTGATTGTTTTTAGAATAATACTATACTCTTAAATACAGTTTGTCGGAAAAATGTAGAGTTTTTCTGTGTCATAGTGGATAATACATATAATGGCCACTGTATTTAAAATATTTACGAGAAATGGCCATCGTAAATGCTTCCCAGAACTTATCTCCTTCCTGCAGGCGGCACTGGGGAACACAGCGATCGTCTTGTTATGTCAACAAAGCCGCCGGCCATCCGGAACCATAACTGCGTTTGTCATGCACGGATACCACAAAGCAGTCATTTTGTTTCTCTGTTAATACCTGGTGACCAGTCGTCTGTACACCAGAGATTTGATGCTGTCCGATTTCAGGTAATTTCCATCCCAACTAACTGCACTTATCAGTGACTCCTAACAAGTTCTGCTGCTCTAGTTTTGAGCGGCATTGGTTACTTTTAGCTATATGAGTATCAGGATCCTTCTACACGTCAAATATAAGGTTCTCGTGACAGTAGATAGGAAGATTAGTTTCTTGTGGAATATGACGTCATGTAGCCTGGTAGATCATTACAAAGGTTTTGGAGGAACCTGCTGTCTCGATTGTCAGGGTAGGAAGCAGGTTTCTTCGAAACGTTCATATCAATATACCACACTATACGGCCTCAACCAAGAAGAGAGTCAACTTCATATTTCACGCGCTTTCATTGAACAAATACTAATTCCTCTTACTCTCGTTCGATATCTGCCACCACGCCATTGCTATTAATAATGATGATTATAACGAATGTGATAACACTGATAATGATGATGGTGATAACAATAGACCCAAATACTGGACATCATGGTCGAGTGGCTAACACCCATGTTCCGCATTTTGAAGATCCCGAGGTTAAATCTCCAGTCTGAGGTTTTCATGGCTTTGTTCGGGTCCCTCAACCAAGTTTGTCATAAGCATTCAATGCTCTTAAGAGCGTCGTCACATTAACCGTGTGATAACTCAATCGAGTCATTATTTATTTACGTGCTTACTCAGCAGCCCAGAAGTCAGTTATCCTAGTAAGCACGAAGAAATAAGGAAACAGAACTGTCACATACAAACAAACGAAAGATAAATAAGGCAACTTACGTCATTTAGCAAATAATAAAAATACAGTCAATGCAGCCGTTATGCAGTGAGTATATTGTGACGTGTATACTCATTGGTAGGCAATGACTCTTTATAAACACATCATCGCGAATCTTACGAGTGCAACAATACGTCCACTGCTAGGTAACGGACCAGTAAATATACGAGGGTTGAAACTTTAATAGGGGCAAATATTTATCTACAACTGATACAAAATAGATGCATGTTTCGAAGCTTTCCTGTCCTTCAGTGTAGTCAGGAGCATTGTGTACAACCCGTTGCCAGCGATGTGGAAGTCGTAGGATACCTTTAGCAGCGCCGGTTTTGTTGATAGTTCGAATGGAGCGGTCTGCTGCCTGAAGAATCTCTGGAACAGTTCTAAAACGAATGCCACGAAGTAGTTCCTTCATCTTAGGAATCAAGTCGAAGTCACAAGGGCTTAAGTCCGGGGAGTATGGTGGATGGTACAGCACTTCCCAGCCCCATCGATCGAACAAATCAGCCACAGCTTGCGCTGCATGCGGCCGAGCATTGTCCTGCAAAATGATGGGTGGGTTCTGCAGAAAGTGTCGCTGCCTCTTTCTCAAACTTGGTCGCAGGTTGTGTTCCAAAAATGAACAGTAATACTGTGCACTGACCGTCTGCTGTCGGGGAACCCTAAGCGTTAGGATAACACCATCACAGTCGTACACGAGAACCACCATAACTTTCAAATTGCTGGGTTCTGATGAACTTTTGATTTTAATGGTGGTTCCATCTTGCCACTCTTCTGTAAGGCAATGTAGATTCCCCGCAAGCCTCTTGAAGACCTTAATGAAGATCTTGCGCGATTTTTTGGCCAGAAAAGGGATCGCAGTCCTTGATTCTCCTCCGTATTCTCCAGATTTGGCTCCAGCAGATTTCTGGTTGTTCCCAAAAGTTAAGTTGCGATGAAAGGAGACCGTCACGACACCATCCAGGACATCCAAAGGGAATCTACCGCCGTTCTAAATGCCATTCCACAAAAGGAGTACAGTGACTGTTTTCGAAAACTTTTCAATCGATTCAAGCTATGTATTGATTCAGAAGGAGACTATTTTGAATAAAAAGAGTGAAATTTGGAAAGAAATCACGTCTTTTATTTTTAATGAACACAGTTCTAACAGTACCTGGACACACTGTGTATGTACATGTATTGTCCTTTCTCGCCACAAATGACATAACTACTGGAAATGTACTTACTTTATTTTCCTCGCATGTTAAAGCTAACTTCAATTTTTCTTGGAATTGTTATTAATTTATTGCTATTAGATAGACTGTCATATTTTGTATTTTGCTCTTTAATTATTTTTGTCTATTTCTGTGTACTTGTGCTAACTTTGTAATTGGCCACAGTGCTGTTAAGTTTGCACGTAAATAAACACGAACTGAATTGAATTATTGGTACTGTTTTGTCGTTCTTAGTGTCTTTTGCTCTTCTTTGTTGACTATGGGAAAAATGATGTTCTTCCAGTACGGTATTTCCTCAAGTGGCCTTGTGTTTTTGTCCTTATGCTTTTGTTTTTCAGTAATATAAATTGTTCTGTCTACACTGTGCTGTTTCTGTGATTGGCCTCGCAGCTGTTGACTCGGAACGTAAATAATATAAAATTGAATTAGATTATTATTACTACCGTTGTTTTTAACCATCACGTTTTAATGATTCATCACGTACTGCACAAATATTCTTGTTTTTAAATCTTTCAAGTCTCGCTTCGTTCATTTCGTCCTGTTCCCGTAATGCTGTCAGCTCATAATTTTGTTTAATATATTCTTTCATTTTACATGTTGCTCTCTGTAACTGCTTGCCTGTGATTGACGCCCTACCGCCGAGAAGCGCTGAAATGCATTGTTGCTTTTGTTACTACCAACACCACAACGGCAGTAGTATCCACCCCCTAGTCTCGTACCTAGGTTTGATTATGAAACAGATTGCCGCTCTAATGACATTAATGCTCTTAATTCTTATTGTTGCAGATATGACGTACAAGCCACGGCCTCCTATAATTGAAGGTAAGAAACTCTGCTCTGCATGTTCTGTCTGCTCGCTTCCGAGCAGAATTCTGTTTCTTAGCCAAGAGAAGACCGATACCAAATTTCGGAAATGTTATCAAAGAGGAGATGTGCTGAATATACAGAGTGTTCCGCAACACGATATCCATAGCTCAACTACGTGCTTTTGGGGTTATTTTGAGTCAAAAACTTTTAACTCGTGTCGGCCTGGCCCGCAGCGGTTTATCAAGAAAATGACAATGGGCATTCTATTGAATTTGTAATTTTTATATTATTTCTATTTAATTTAGGTTGCATTATTATTATTATTATTATTATTATTATTATTATTATTAATAGTGGTGGTGGTAAAGTTTAAGCTACACTCTAAATGAATGAAATTAATTTGCCTTAGTGTGTGTAAGACGTTGAAACTGTAGGGATACAATGCAGAAACAGATTATTTGTATATTTTACAGCCAATTGAATATTTAATAGAAGAAATTATTACATTAAAAAATATTGCATTCTATTTGTCTATTTACGGATCACTTGACAATGGTCCATGCGAATAATAGAGTTAATTAAACTATCGATGTTTGTATTGAATTTAATAGAGTTTATTAACATTTAATTTACTTCGTTGTTGTGTCGACGGCTCACTACCGCTAGAAGTATAAATATTGTCACGTGTTGGGTATGTCACGCGGCAAATAACTTCACCTGGGTCTCGGATCTAGCGAAACTTTATTGGACACGCCTTAGAATTGTTATCACTTCAACTGTATTCTACGGCGGCTATCTTCCAACCGTGTTGTATGGCGACTAGGTTCCAACTGTACTGTATGAAGGCTAGTTAGCTCTGTAGTCCTGTAACAAGTCAAAGTCAAAGTCACATTGCGACTAACGGTCAGTCAGTCAGTCAGTAATTCTTGGTGTCGAGCCTCATCTGGGGCTGTTCCACAGTTACGGTCTTGTTTTCGTGGGGCACCCTCTCTGACGAGAGGATGGATCTGTATTTTGTATATGCTGCTGGTCCTTGCCAGCGCAGTTTATTTTTTTGGGTCCGAGTCCCTTGGGATTCGTGACCGTATTTTACTGTCTCCGATTTAAGACTTCCTTTTTCGTCGCCTCCTACGACTCGAAGGGTCACGGTCCTGTAGCTCTGTAGCTCTCGGTTTATGTACGTGTTCTGCGGACCGGATACGAGACACCATTCGCCAAGGTTCGATCCCACGTGTTCTGCAATCCGTTGCTTCGGGAACGCTCTTTGTAGACAGGTAACGCATTGTAAGATCGCATTAAGTGGAGGAACTGTTTTGGAAGATATTGTGGACCTGTCGTCTGACAGATTACTGATGAATGAATGAACGTGTTTCATCTCATCCGTTGTTACTCAACGGCAATTCGTCGCTACGATTTGTCGCTGTGGGATCTCCACAATTTCCATTGTAGCCGTTGCGCCGTGATGGACGTAAGATAACTTCTCACAATATACTTTTATTTACTTATTCGTAGTGTATTCAGCGACGTTGCCTGTAATTTGGACTGTACAGTGTCGAAGTCTTGTTGATATTGAATAGTCAATTGGAGAAGATGTGTGAGAAACATGCCGTGGTCCAACTTGAGATGCGATCTCAGCGTTTGCCTTGAGATAGTGAGGAATTCTATTTAAATCTGTCAGAGTCGCCTGTGTCCAGCGCAAGAACGGAAACGGCGATCTCCAGAATACCAAGATAGATACGTTACCATTTGAGTCCACTTGCTTGGCCCAGTTGGAATATGAGGTATTTGTTTAGATGTAGGATAGGATAACATTAGATTTCTGCATGTGGCTTGTTGAATGTTTAATGATATTTATCAACTACACAAGATTGTTAACGTCAAATGATTTTTAAAGAGGATTAAATTTGAAGAATGCTGTCTTCTGGTATGTGGCGCCGTGTAGATCTTATGTAAACTGATGTTTCGGAAGAACATATCGCCCCCATTTTCAGGGTGCTGCAGCCACCTGCTCACGCCGGTTTCTCGCTCGCGGATTTTTCCACCCTGAAGATGGATGCTATAAGTTCATCCGAAACGTCGGTTCGCATAAGATCTATACAGCGCCACATCACAAAGACGACAATATTCATAGTCGCGAACCATGAAAACATCAAATATTACATAGGATCAAATTTGTCCCTTTGCTTAGCTAAGCTCGTCGCCATGAAGGCTTATTGAGGGAATACGTGAATATTTCCCGCATTCTTATCGTGTACTCCAGATGCAGGTTAGTGACCAGCTTCACGTCCAGTCCGCATGACACAGTTACGCATTATGGGTCGTGTAGCTGGGCCCAGGCCTGGTGTGGCTTCTGTGGAGAAAGGAAGTACATCTGACTCAGATCGGGCGCCCAGCCCCTAGTGTAGTCTCTGTTACTAGAGAAACGATACATCCGTTACAGAACTAATCATTGAGGGCTTACGCAACCCACGTTAATGACCACTGTGGGAAATAATTTTGAAACATCGACATATTTGATTCCGTTGCTGGAGAAGCAAAATAATTACATTTCCATACCCCAACCTGACAGTTCGTCATGCATGTGATGCAGCTTGCCATTCTGTGTAATGAGCATCATGTTTCGGGCGCTGAAAACTGGTCATCATTAGTGAGGGAAATTTGATTATGCTTCATAAAGAAAGCAGGTACAATATCCCTTGCAACAAATTCGTGTAGCCCCTGGCATATCGAGAGGTTGACATTCCTCCTTCAAATTTGTCCCAGACGCTTCCCATCCTAAAGACGTGTTTTCGTGGTTTTTATTGACTCACTTCCTTAAGACATTTTTTTTCCCTTGGCACTAAGCCCCAGTGGGCCTAGGCCTACCTCCATGAACTTCTCCGTTCACTTTGGTTTTTCTAGATCTTACATATTCGGTAGGATTCCTTGGGCGGGTGATCGGCTCGTCGCAAGGCCTCTGCCTGTACACAAACAGAGAAAAACGCACACACACAAACTAAACATCCATGCTCTGAGTGGGATTCGAACCCACTATCCCGGTTGCCAAGCGAGCGAAGACAGTACATGCTTTAGACCGCTCGGCTACCGTGACCGGCCCTTAAGACATTACCTTAATATTTTTCCCTGGATGCAATCTTCGCTCACTGTAAAGTCTGATGTTATGCACCGCATGTACATGTAAAATGTTGTTAAAATAACGAAGACTCAGATATATTTACCCTCAAGGAGATATTTGTGTTCTTTGTAGGCTGTCAGTACATAGATTTGTTTATGGCTTATTTAACGACGCTGTCAGTAGCTCAAAGTACATGCCGTCGATTCAGTAGTTGATAGTGAATAAAGCAGTGTTTCGCAGTTAAGTTCGGACAAGGAAATTATTCGCGCTTGAAATATTTTGCTTACCTCTTAATAAAATTCTTGCACTTGAAGCTAAATCTACACCACAAAATAAGTAAGGATAATATAATAATGACATGTTAACGAGGCTGTCAGATGGCATATTGTTTCGCTGCGCATATTCAGAAGCAAAAGTCACGTCTTTGTATACAAAGAAATTAAGCGCAAATTCTAATATGCTACATATTTACAGTTTTCAGCTTGTGAATTGTTTCTTCTTCATATATCATTTTTATATTTGGCTTTATACGGGAAACTCGAATTCTCAAATCTGACACCACATTTCATCTGATTCTGTATGTTGCTTGAGCTGCTGCGCGATTCTACAATCCAGTTTCTCACAAGTATTTGCCGGGAATAGGGGATCAGGTGGAAAGAATTCACTTCTTTTTAAAGCTTTCTCCTCGGAGGAAAAAACATGATTTCGTATATTAACTTCTATTGACAGTGGCATTCTTAATATAAAATACTTCAAAAATGAAAATTCTTGTAAATTCATTATTTTTTATATTATACTTTATTATTATTATTATTAAATTTTCTTCCTGACATTTTATTTTCAATTCGCGGTTCTCCGGGGTTCCGCGGAACACCATTTGGGAAACAAAAGAATGAAGAATCCAAAAGCATGTGCAAGGAAGTTCTCGTGACCTAATTTAAGTTAGTGCTCCAGAATTTTCTTGGGGAGAACAAAGAATGACACGAAACACCTCATTCAAGGTTGCCAGTGACCAAGCCGAGTTTCGAATTAGGCGCGTTCATATTTAAACCAGATATGTTTCGCTTGAAAAGGCTGTTCGGTAGTACATGCGGATATGAACAGGTGACACACTCTGACGTCACTGTAATATTTAGCTGTTTCCCCACAAGCGTATCCACTTTTCACGGGACCCGCGAGGCTCTCACCTCTCCGTATGTAGCGGGCGAGCGTCGTATTCCGGAGGCTCTAGGCTCGAATCTCTGGCAGGAGATATCAGAATAATACCTGAAGTTAGGCCATGATCACTTCTTTGTTCACTAATTATCTTACAATGCTGAGCTACTAGGAGCGTCGTTAAATGAGCTTTAAGTAAATGTGGCTGGGATTTGCAGTTCTCATGGCGATGAGTATGAAGATTAATGCTGTCTTCTTGGGCGTGACGCTTCTTAGTCTAGTAGAACGTCACAGTGTCTCCGAGGTCCCTGCTGTCTGCCTTGTCGACGGAGAGGAGTAAGCCGCGCGGGAATGGGAGGTAAAAGATATAGGGACAGGAGATTACACTTGGTGTGTTTGCCCCTCCCCACCTCAAATTTTGCACCAGCGTTCCCCCGTTCGCCCAAGTTGTACTCCTTTCCTCCTTTCCCTCTTACTGTACGTTAACTTTCCTTCTTGTCTGTCTCTTCCTCTGAAGATTGAGGCGGCAGGTTTCTCGAATCATTGGTAACTTTGTACCGGGCTCAAAGGAACGAAAGATTAAGAGAAGAGGTAAAGTTCTGGATTAGTATTTAGGTCTTGCTTGGTTCGAATCTCAATCGGTACATCAGCTATCATGACTTGACTTCTTCGCTGTATACCTCAGTCCCTTAAGGCCAATGCCGTTATAGTAACATGATCAGGCCACTATGGCTTCGTTCGAAAT